TTTCTACGTTCTTTCCAAAATTAATTCAAAATCTCTTCCCTGAGCACAAGAGGCTTCACTTTCTCACACACAAAAAAGTTCCCTGTAAGAAGTGTGCTTCAAAGCTGTTACTTTTATTTTCAAGCTAATCTAACTGAAAAGCAGTGGTTTTCTTATGTACAGGCTCCACATTAAAAGCACACACAGGAAAGACTGTTTTATGTGCCAGAGTAAAACCTCTCTTTTCCAAATCCATAAAGCTTAAAGCTTCCCATTGTGAAGGATGTCAGTACCAATGTGTTCACTGTAAACGTTAATGAAAACATGAGTTGTAGGATACAGAAAGGCAAAAATCCCAAATACAGAAAGCCATGTTCTGAGAGAAGGATGACATTGTCTGAACTGGATGAGTTAAAACCTAACAGCCCTAGCAGGTACTGCGTAACTGCTATACTAAAAGGTCAAAACCACTAACAATGCAACCTTTGAAACTAGAAGACCCTTTATTCCAACACTGATTGATTAGCATTGGTTTCTGGCACACGTAACACTACTTAAGTTATGATCACCATGGCCAGCACTGCTACAGCTATCTTTTCCAGTATAGGTTCACAGAGAAAAATGCATGCTGTGAGTTAAGGACTATAAAAAAATTAAAAAAAAAAAATCACACCTTCAGGACTGAACACTACATATATACATAGTCCCAGATATAGTGAAAGCAGCAGTCTGTAGCAGAAATGGCAGTATAGGAGATGCAGTATCTTACCTTTCACCGTTTGCATCTCAGCAAACTATGAAACACAAACCAGTGACCAAAGCTGGGGCTGGGCTGAGTAATGCAAAAGCCACTGAAGACACCTGCATTAGTGCATGTGGTCAGGAGCCCTTTCTGTATTTAATCAGATGCCAGTGGCCTTCTGCACAGGCCCTGTTAAGTCATCCCACTACATACAACAAAACAATAAGAGCATTCCCTCAAAATCTGAGCAATGTTACAAACAGATGATTAACATCGATATCGGAGGCAGGCTTTTGGCTTTGGAAATCTAGACTCAGTTTCTCACCCTGGAGAGAAAGAGAACAGGATTATTCAGTTGAAGAACTGACAACTATTTATAGCTTTAATTTTTTTTAAAAAGCTTTTCTCAGAAATACCAAGCCAGAAGCCAATTGCTGCCTCAACCCTTTCCAGTAGAAACAGTTCCCAGGAGTCTTCGCACACTGTTCCAAGGTTGCTGGAGTGCATATTGTTCCACATCATCTTGCCAGTAATTCACAGGACCACTTTCAGTCACACGGTGGAGAGGAAAAAGGAAAAAGTTCCTTTCTTCTCTCCTCAGGATTTCACTTCCCTAACATTTCTATCAGTCCTCTGCTATTCTTTTATTTATGAATAGCAGGGTGACGCCCACACCCAAATAGCTGGTTTATGTCTAGCTGTTATCAAGTCAATGTGAAGAGTACAACTACTCACCTAAAAAGAAGGAACACTTCATCCCAGGTACACACCTGTAAATGAAAGTTCTCTCTATCTACTTGCTAACAAAGATGAAAACCTTTTTCTACTGTTTCCCCACACACACACCTTATCTTCTTGCCTAGCTGACAGAGGTCACTAGTATAAAGGAGCTTACTTGGATGCTCAAGTTTTTCCATGCAGTCCAGTTGTTCCTACTACTTTCCTACCACCTCCTCTGTAAGGCCTTCGCTTAAGCTGGGAGCAGGCCATTAACTAAGCTGGCTGAATGGCTAGATATCTTCTGTGGTTCTGCAGAAAACCTCAGAGTTTAATGTAAGTCAAAGATCTGTGCCACGTTTAATGCTGCTTGCACAATGTACAATGCTAATGATGTACAATGCTCTTATGAACATTCATCTCATTGGCTTTCACGGCTTGGCATGGAACCAAGTTAGCATATTACAATCTAGCTTAAATACATAAACCCATTGATGATGAACCAGAAAATAGAATCCAAACAACTGTTTTAAAACCAAGAAACTGAGCTATTGACTGAAAAAAGAAAAAAAAAAAAAAAAGAAGAAGAAGAAAATAGAAGTTGTTGCTTTCAGTATAAGGAATACAGAAAGGTAAAACCAATAATTTTCCAGAACTGCCCATTCATTTCTTCCATAGGTTCTAGTAAAAGAAAGGAACTATGTGGCCTGAGCTGTCTTTGTCAATCTATGAAGGTGATGCAAAACAGTCCACAATCCTCTTTTTCAGCCCATGTAGTTAGAATGCAGTTTGAAGTGACTGCACTGCTGGCCCTTCAAAGCAAAGGCTCAAAATAAGTACTCCTGAAAAAAAGCAAGAACAAACTGCAAAACTTCATTATTGATTTTTTTCCTCATACCCATCAGTCACTAGAAAATTCACAGCAGACATCCATATGAAGAATAACACAATTAAGAATTCCAAGCAAGTACCTGGTTGTTGTGTCTATTTCCTAATGAATCCCTCAGCAATTACTACATACAGCTGTAGCCTAAATGAGTACAGAGTGAACCAGTACGAGTGGAAACCTGCTCCTAAGGCCCTAACTTTTTATGCTTCTTTTGCAGCTGAGATACAACACAGCAAATAAGATTTATTCAGCTTGATGAAGAGGCTCGTGGTATTTCTTGAAGCAGATGCTGACAACTGTCAATGAGTTCTTTAAACTCTCCAGAGGCTGTGGAAATGTGCAGGGTATGGTATTTTTTTTTTTTTTTTATCTCAGTCTTTATTCTTGAGCCTAAATGCAATCAAGATGCAATGAAAGGGTCCCACTCAATTGCATGAATAAGCAAAACCACTGCAGTTCAGGCAGGCCCTCCAGCAGCATGGCATTCTGCCAAAGACCTCTCTTCAGACGAAGACATGACTTCAGACATGACTCGTTATTAGTAATATTATAACAGTGCCGAGAGGCCCTCACAGAGGCTGCATTCACACAACCAGTCTAAAACGCACACAAGATAGTCTCCATTAACATCTACACCCTGATAAAGGAAAAGCTAACTTACCACATGTGCAACACGTGCATTGCCATCTATTCAATGGTCCTTAAACTGTTTCGTTTGTGCTCCACAAGTCTAACTGAACAGCAACATGTAGCTCTGTGCTGCTTCCTGTTCAACAGCCCTCTGTCTCATGTACCTCTACCTGTAACATTCTCAGGGTGGAGCGTTTCTCCACTTCCCTTCATTTCTTTGCATGATATTCCCCTCTGACCACTCTGCCAGTAGAGACAGTTCTACTTTCTTCAAGAGAAAGTGACAGACCATGTCATGAGGGTAATAACACAAGTGCCCAGATGACAATGCACAGGGCATGCAGAGGGAAATACACCAAGCCAAGCTCTGCTACATTGCCTAGGCAAACACTGGTATCACACATCAAGAGGGACAAATATCTTTTGGTGACTGCTGGTAAGCAAAAATCATGCAATTCAGTAAGATACCACAGCATGTCCTCCAGCCCCAAAGATCCCAAGAAACACAGCAAGACAATGTCAGCCCCCCCCCGTCCTTCCCCAGAAACCCCTTCTGTCAGAGCAATGCCCAAAACATACAGATAAAATCACAGATGCCATCTAATTCGTTGACAGTAGTTTTAGAAAATGCGCTATATAATACAGCATCATTTTACTGCATCGCTTCATTTTATAGTTTTTAAGGCAAAATAAATTTGAAATAGCTTCAGTTGCAGCAAATAAGCTTTACAATAGTGGCAAAGGGGTTCCAGACCTAAGTTGTGCGTTCACACTGCGACAGGATTTGTAACTCCCAAAAACAGATGTCAGAAAATGCTAATATCTGGTGTGATGCTGATTGAATAAAGCTGAGCTTCAACAGGTCTTAAAACTACCTTTGAATGAATTTATCAATTTGGGAAAATTATAAATGCTTCAAGTGTTAATAGTCTAAGATTAAGAATAGGTCACCGTAGCTCTATAACTCTACCCCTTGTGATTCCTTATCCCATCTTATATGAAAAGCCTCCTGACAAACCATTGAAACAGATCTCCAAAGTGAAGCCAACACTATTTGGAATCCAAACAACCAAAATTTCAGAGATGTGAAAAGCCAAACTAGATTTAGAATGATTTTCTAAATGAAAAAGATCTCCTGTATCTGCAGTACAGTATTGTCTGCCTTAAAATATGCTTTCCCTTTTAAGAGATGCCTCAAAGATCCAAGCAAATTGATTTAAATGCAATGAATCATAAGAATTGTATCCATCCTACAGAAAAGGAAGAAGAATTAACCTTCCCTGAACGGCAACATCTTAAATGGCTTGAAAAGAAACAAACTAGTGGTAGTATTTTCTAATTCCCCAGACACTAATTAGAAGTCACAAACAGCAGTGTCCCATGCAAATTCCATTTTCAGTGCTGCTGCAAATGGCCAATGTTGCAGTGACTCTTTCAGCTGAACTGATTATAATAGCAATTTAACATTGTAGAGTGATAAACTTCCCCTAAAAGGCAGCATTTAGTAGACAAGAAAATAAACAACATGATAGGAATCAACACTTTTCTAATTTTTTTTTTAATTAAAGTACTGTTACAAAAAGAATACACCAATAATGCATTGCACATTTGAAAACAATTCTGCTTAAGTTAAACATTACCATAAAAGTCATCAGCTTACAAGGAAAGTGATTCACGACGGAAATCATTTCTAACTCAGTTTAGTAAAGTTTGTGTAACAATTGCCTGCCCAGGGAAAGAAACCCACTCATTTACAGACTTAATTGGGTAATATTAGAGGAGCAAACCAAAGCAATTACCAGAATGATACATCATTAATCTAGGGTACACTAGCTAATAAAAAACACAGACATACATATAATTGGTATTGATGAAATAACACAGGGTTGGAAGCACCAAACAAACCATTCAGTGACAAATATTCATATTATATCAACAAAGAAAATAAAGAGCAACAGGATAATTTTAGCAACTACACATGAAAGAAATACTGCTTCTGCTTCATATTCTAATTTCAGAGATAGGGAAAGAGGATTGTCTTACCTCAGACACACCCTGAAGAGAGACATCAACACCACATCTACATCCTTTCTTAGTTCTCTTGATAGCGACCTAAGAAGAAATACAAAATAAGTAATTATCTTCCCTGCAAACAGTATGTGCTCAGGGGGCAGCACACTGCCTAGTAAAGCATGCTGAAAATAAGCTCAAAAGAAAAAAAATCACCACCACCACCTCAAAAAGAAAATCCTTTCAAAATAAAAGAGCAAAGAACTTGATATTTGAAACTGCCAGTAAGGTTTATTGCATTTTGAAGGAGTAGAGAATCAATAATTATATAGACATAACAGTGATGTGATCTTACTGTTTGCAGTATAATAATAAAATATTTGTCTACAGAGTAAGGACAGCAAATTCATCTGCACAGAACACAGCCATGAAAGACCTGAAAAGATTCCTACCCCTGTTGTAAGCACACATGGGCTCAGATGATACAACCTTGCTAACTTGCTTTTTCCTCCAGAAGGACAGTGCTTCCTAAAGCTACACTCAAACGTTAAATGCTTTGGTCAAGAGTTCATCCACTGACCTGCAAAGAAAGCCTTGTGTTCAGCTCCAACATTTTCTAACAGCAAACAATTTTAAAAAAATGGTTTCACAGAACAAACTGTTAAAAGAGAAAATCCTCACATAAGCTTTTCCCGAGGGGGAAGAAATATCCACAAGGTTTAAATTGGCCAGGCGGATTTAAGAGGAAGCGGAAAAAAAAAAAAAAAGCAGCTCTTTCTGTTGCGTCAAAGAGCCCACTGTGCAATAGGAACAGTGAGCGGAGTTGTTAAACTGGCAAGCTTCTGCTGAAGACAGCTTTTCAATATGCTCTCAGCATCGTCTCCCAGGGCTGGCTGGAGACAGTCCCGCTCCTCTTATATGAGCTATGCTCCTTCAAGAGGCAATCGCTCTTAAGGACAGTTTCTATAAACATGCTGTTCAACTGGTTTTGCTGCACAATGAGGGTAATTAGACACATACCTGCACTCACGTATCCAAATTTCACGTTTCTTGGGGGAAATGCAGGCATATTTAAAGCAGTGACCAACAGCCCAGCTTAAGAGCAGGATGCTACTGATGACAGATAGCCGGCTGTTCTCTGCTTACACCATTCAGTTTGCTGTTAGCAGTTTTGAAAGACTGTACTGACGGAGAAAACCTCAGTATGGTTCCATTGGGATGCTGTAGTCCAAGCAGCTGAATCAAGGAGATCAGCAGTCATGTGCTCCTGACTACCTCTGTGTGTAATGCAGAGCTGTGGCTAGCAGGGGTGAGTTCATCGCCCCTCCTGGGAATGACCGCCACACGACGACAGAGGCTGAGGCAGTGTATTTACTGTGACAAGAGCATGGCAACTGAGCAACCTGGCTAGAGGTGAACAGAGCCACAGCCATCAGCATATACGAGGATTTGCTACACGAACTCCGCATATGAGAAAACCACCCTGTATCCCTTCTTCCACAATCAGTGCAGACCTAAGCAAAGACATTTCAGAGCACAGGTTGACCTACTGCAGCATGTCTTCATCTGATCAGCTAAACTGTCTTCTGGGTGTCTCTAACTATAAAGGGAAACTAGGATGCCTTCTCAAATGAAAGGAGGTTACAGACACCAACACATTGAGGTGAATACCATGCCAAGTGACAAGGCTGTGCACACCTGTGAGATGTGTGCAGAAGGAGACTGCAAGGAGCAGGAGCAGAATAGAACAGGTCAGAGAACGGGCTTTTCAGCATGACTGCAGATTAAAAGCAGTTTTAAAAGCAGGACAAACATATGGCTGGATTTTTATTTCTAGATCTTTCAGAATTGCCACAGAGATACTAAGAGCCTGAACAAGGCGGGAAGGCAGCAGGAGAAAAGGAAATATGTCCAGGAGATAAATCCTCCCTGTGTTATTTCTTTACTAATGTGTCTTCTACAGGAAGAGTCTACCCATCTGTTTCAGCTACTTTCAGGTTAAAATGAAATCCTCCCTTAAGAAGTGTTTTCGTAAGGAGCAGAACATGTTTTTTTAAATAAAGTGCAATTAATTTACATATGAAAGATGGCATTTTCTAAGCCTTGGCCCTGTTAACTGAATGCAAAGTCCCTTTTGTGCACCAGAGATGCAGCCAGTGTGCTGCTGCCAGTGTTCTGCTCACACCACACCCAGACAACTTACCACTTGCCAAGCTCCAGCCCTAGTGTCGCTTGAGTCCTGTGAGCGTATCATTAGCACTGTGAGTGTGGTGATTAATAATCCTGTCCACGCCGCAGGGAAGAGAACCAAGTCTGGTTCAAGATCCCAAAGCTAACAGCTAGACAAGCGTTCTAACAGCTCTCACAATAACAACACCCACTCTTAAGACTGACTAAATCTTCCCCACTATAAATACTGTTTGCACACAGCTCAGTGCTGTCATACTGCAGGCTGAAGGAAACTGATCCCATTTGCTTTGTCTGAAAGGGATTTTTTGTTCATCTTGGGACTGTAAAAGTGCAGTTATTTGCACTGTGAGCACGTGGCTATACCAGATGCCCTCCTGATGTCCTTTGCAGCCTAAATTATTATGATTCAGTTAAAATTAGGCCAATTAACAAAAACTGCTTTTAGCTATTACAGAAATGAAGTGGACTGTGGCCAACTCAAGCATTTCAAAATCTGAATCTGGATTCAATTCTGAAGACTACAGAAAGCCCCAGAACCAGAGACCTCTATTCCATCTCACGAGAAGCCACCAGATCTGCTGGAAAATGTACATTTGTACTGACATTGCCATCTGTCATTAACAGATACCAACCTACAGAGAGCTGCGCTGAATCCCAACAATCCCGTGCAGTTTCACTCATGGATTCCCAGCCTCCTTTTGCTCTTCTTTCTGGTTCATCACTCAGCAGTTTAATCTACTATCTTTCACCACCAAGGGTGAGATAAGACACTTGGTCTCAGCCTCAATTTCTCAGTCCCTGACAGCCTAGACACCTCCCAGCTGTAGGAAATTGCTCTGCACAAAGCCAATGGACACCAAAATGGTTAACAAAACACCTTCTACAAAATCTCATAGTTTTTACTATCTCAAAAATCCCCTTCTCCAAGGCCTCGCTCATAACAAACTAAGGAAATTTATGCTTGTCAGATCTTCTCAGTATTGATACAACAGCTTTAGAAAGGAGAGCAAACTGTCTTTACCCATGCCAAAACCAGCTTTGATCTCTATAGGCCTAAAGAATGCATGCAGGACAATAATTAGCAGGTAAGCCAGCAGATGGACAACCATTTGTTGGGATTATACCAAGGCAGAAATTCAGAAAGTGGAGAATGACAATATAAAGTCCTCTGCCATTGTTCAGTGCCACCTTAACACCTTCTGAACATTCTGTATTGACTGAAGGGTCACAGTCACATTCAGAGTCTCAGATGTAGCGCAAACAACTTAATGCACTATGCTCAAGGTCTGCAATACTACCTTTACATACTACATATGCCTTTCCCTGCACTGACTGTATTAACAACGCTGCCTGAATCCCCCACACTTGATCTTTGCCACTGACACCTTCAAGAAACAGGACAATCTTCCCAGGCAACACCAACCTTCACAGCATCAGATGACTAACATGCTTCAAGGTCAGCACTGTCAATTTCCTGCTACAGCAGATCACAAAGCCTCTTCCTGATTAACAAGGCTTATGTAGGCATTCCAGCTGGGTTCCACATTCCTGCAGGAAAGAGATTGTGCACACTTCCAGTCAGATGGCTAAGATACTGAGACCTTCAGTGTGCCCTGCATTGTTCACATCCAAACAGCATAGTCTGTGTGAGAACTTGGGAGAGCCACTCCAGAAGGGGAGGAAGAATCAGGCCTCAACCCGACAGGATTAGCCCAGCCCTGCCACCATCTACAGGCTTGGAACAGAAGATGAGTACAGCAAACCACTGGCACATCAGTGGTTCCAGTTCAGCACAGTAACAGCCCCAAATCACAGAACTGCAGAGATTGGAAGGGACCTCTAGAGATGGAGCTCAGCTAAAACCAATAGCTTCTGTTCTCAGCAACTTCAAATGCAAATCCTATTGTGATGTGGTAGAGACTCAGCACCCGTATTTTAGGAACTGTCATTATTCCATGCCCTTTTCCAATTTCCTTCTGCTGTGCTAACAAATGCTGATTTTCAGCCACGAAAAATTATCACAGTAATAACTATGATTCTCCAAAAAAAAAGTTCCCTTCCCTCTTACACAAGAAGTGTTGTTTCTTACTCTGAGATTATTAAACCCAACACTCTAAATTCTCTTGATTAAAAATAGCTGCTTTTATAACTCCTTACAAAACTCGCCCAAAGCCATGATTTCTGTCTAGCTGGTACTCGAGTGTAGTTCTGCAGCAGATGTTTGGCAGGGGACTCCTTGCAAACCCATTCTTCAAAAGCAGCTTCTGATACCCTCTATCCTCCTGTTGCCTCTTGTGGCATCCTAATTCTGGCTTCACAAGCAGCACAGAGCAAGCCAGGACCAATCACCCCATCAATCCCTCCCTGGGCGGTTAATGAAGAGACACAATATACACAGTTGTGTTTTGAGCCCAGAAAGTAAAATGCTATCCTACAGCAGCCTGTGGGTTGGATAGTAGAGGCAGGAAAGAAAGATGAGGAAGTGCTCTGCATCCGTTTCATGAGCAAAAGCAGACTTTCTGCTGTGGCTCTGTCACCTCTGAACAGTGCATTAATCACATATTTCATGCTCCTTACAATTACAACTGATGAACATCTCTCAACAAAAGAGCTGAGAGAAGGGTCAAAGAACAGGATCTTGCACTCACTGCTGGGTACTGATAAACTGACAGGGTCGATTGCTTTCAACAAGACAATCCCGTGATAATTTCTCATGGCTACAAATCAGCATTTGTTAGCACAGCAGCAGGAAATCAGAACAGGGCATGAAATAATGACAGTTCCATGTCAGGCTAAAATCAGCTCTCTCCTTCAGAGAGTAGAGCCTTTGTAAACACACTTCTTCCTGGAGGCTACAGCTTATGTACAAGTTCTCTTCCACAAGCATAGGCAACACTGAGGCCACAGAGTGAAACCAATGTAGGATTCACACCCCAAAAGCGTGGGCGGTTCCTCACACAACGCTGGCAGTGGCTTTGGCGTAGGAGGAATTAGCAGCAGCAAGGAGAGATGGAGAGAAGTCAAATTCCCAGCCCTCAGATGACTCCATTCTCAGCCCAAAGACGACACCAGGGACAATACATTTTCCCCAAACTTAAAATTTGTGGAAACCTAACTCAAGAACACTTTTGCACCTGCACCAGAATAGCAAGAGGATCTGCAGACATAATAAATCAGCTGATAATGAGGCAAAAATGCACCCATTAATAAAGCAGAAAGGATGTTACTCCTTACCTGCTTCAGAGACTTAGCATCATTTTAGCTTTTTACTAAAGGTATTGTCTCCTAGATACAAAGACACATGGCCTTAAGCAGCACAAGTTCACAAGAGCAAAGTCTGTAAGGTCTGTTGCTACATCAAAAATGAACGGCCTACTTGAAAGGAATAAATAAAGTGATAACACTGAACAAGTTTACACTTAGATAAGTAACAGGAACACCTGCATGTAATCAAGCATCTTAACACTGAAGACCATAAACTACAGATAAGCAAATCTATAAGTTGCGGAAGGTCAGGAGAGCTTATGGAAAGAAAAAGCTCTGCTCTTTGGCTCTACTGCTGGTTACCTTAGTCCTGAACTACAAGTGCCTTTTATCAGCACAAGCCATGGCCGTGGTGCTAGGGCCATGGACCTTTACAAAGTACTTTGATTTACACCAATATCAACTTCCAAAAGGGCACTGCTGTGCTATAAACATTAGAGATTTTAAGTCAGTTGACTCCAGCCACTATTATATTCTTAACGCCACTCACAAAACTAAGAAAGAGGAGCTCTTGAGCCTGGCTCAGGCACCGTACTATGTACTATCACTAATTCTAAAATGCTGATGGGTAGTACCACAAAATTTCTCATAAGTGACAAGTTTTGAGAGCCTAAACTGTTCCCCGAGCTACATAAAAGTACCTCAGCCCTCCCTACCCATACAAGTCCTCTTAATTTCCACTTCCCTACTACAGGTACATCGTCTGACCCTCAGACCACACACAATAAGGTCCCTATACCTCACTGGCCCCAGCGCAGCACAAAGACCCCCTCCAAGGCCCATACAGAAGACAAGAGAAAAGGCCACTAGAGCGCAGCCTCCCGAACATCGCGAAGAGCCCCGAAAGGACCCAAGATATGGCGGCTCCCGCACATGCCCTGGGCTGCGTGCCTCCCGGATGGGGCGGGGCAGAAGAGCGGACGAGCCGCCCCGGGGCGTCGGGGCGCATGCGCGCCGCCCGGCCGCAAGATGTCAGCTCAGGGGGATTGCGAGTTTCTGGTGAAGCGAGCCCGCGAGCTGGTGCCGGGAGATCTATGGGCGGCCAAGGCCTGGCTGATCACGGCGCGGAGCCTCTATCCCGCCGACTTCAATATCCAGGTGAGCGCTAGCGCACCGGCGGTGTACGAAAACGCAGCGCGGCGCTCCCTCACACGGCCTTGCTGCGGGCGCTGCGTGACTGACGGGCACGTCGGCCAATAGGCTGGGGGGGCGGGGCGAGCGGTTGCCGTGGTGACGGCGGCGTCGGCGTTTCCGTTTATCGGCTGACAGACCCGCCCGTGCTCTGACAGCAGCTGTCGTAAAGTAGAGCTCCTCTTCGGCAGATGGCTTTCGATGTCGATGTGTTTCTTCCCTGCGCTCGAGTGGAAACCCTAGTCACTGATGTCGCCGGTTGTTTTGCTTGTGTAGAAATAAGCAGCATGTTAGTGTCACTGCGTGTACGTGCATACAGCCGTTCTCACGTGCTGTGTGGTTAGACAGGCCAGGCCCGCCTCTTCATTTCTACAGTGCTGCAGTCGTTTCCTCTCAGTTTCTGTTATTCGCACACGTGTCCTTTGGATTGATTCGTTGTCGCGGGGTTTCCTTGGAGCAGAAAGGATAATGTGGTTGATAAATGCGTTCAGGAAGGCCAACGTGCTGTCCTTGCCTCCTGCAGTACGAGATGTACACCATCGAGAGGAACGCGGAGAGGACGGCGTCGGCGGGCAGGCTGCTCTACGACATGTAGGTAACACGGGGAGGTTTGTCCTACCAGCACGTTCTCAGATCGCTCTGCATTCTTTGCCTCAAACTTTGTTACAGGTTTGTGAACTTTCCGGACCAGCCTGCGGTGTGGAGGGAGATCAGTGTTATTACAGCAGCGCTGAGGAATGACTCGCAGGACAAGCAGACACAGTTTTTAAGAGGTAAGGATTTTACTCTGAGGATAGGTAGAGTCCAAAAGCAACCTAAAGATAAGACCTCTGGTTTCATAGCTAGTGGGGTAAGTACAAAAAACACCGTCTGGTAAGCTAGAGAAATGATTGCATAGAGAGTATGTGGAAGGTCACTACGGGATCATTGTCTAAATGATTCCAGAGAACAATGAACTGTCATTAAAATGGAGTGATATAATTTGTGTAAAGTGAGAGTTACAGAAATGGGCAGTGACCACTTGAGGTCTTGACATTCACTACTAGCAGCCATGGGTGGTTTTGAAAGCACGGTTTACACCAGACAAATTGTAATCTCTTCTCTGAAGGTGCGCTTCAGAAATAGTAAGAATAAGCAGCGTGTCTCCCTTTGCGTACGGGTTACTCTAATTGATGAACTGTTTGCATTTTCATGGAATGGAGTTCATAGAGAATACATCTAAATTATAGGGAGAATGTATTGGTTTCTGTGTCTCGTGGAATATTTAAAGTGGAAAAGGTACTTTTCAGTTAAAGTAATGATGTTAGAAGTGATACATAAGCGAAGAATGTAAATGAAGATCTTGAAGCATATTTAAGTGTCAGATTCTTTTTTAGTGTTCTACTCATTAGCGTTCTTACTTGTTCAGTGCATCCAAAGAAACACAGGTTTCCTGCCGGCTTCATTCAGAGAGATAGCATTTTTGTTTTTTCAGGCTCTGGTATTAAAAAACTGAAAGAAATGTAAGGAAATGTTTTCAGTCCACGTAGCAAAGGCACATTGACCTTGTAGTTTACCTTTTATCAGCCACTTTTGCAGTTCAAATGCAGTGAGTTGCACTGTATCTTTTCTTTAAAGGATTATTTGAAACCCTTCCCGGTCGAGTGCAGTGTGAGATGCTACTGAAGGCCACAGAGCAATGTTTTAACACACTAGAAAGGGCAGAAATGTTACTGCTACTTCTGCGACGCTTCCCAGAGACTGTGGTACAACATGGGGTAAGAGTAGCTCATAATAAGCATTTTGTTTGTTTGTTTTGTAAATGCAATGAATATTCCATGCTTTGGAATAATAAGAAAAAAAAAAAAAAGAATAACACACACACACAGAGTGTTGAGGAATATTGTAGTCTAAGAGATGGTATTGTTTCAGCTTTTTTTCAGTAAATACTCACTGAAGGCAAAGTACTTTGAGGTTATAACAAGATTCAGAGCAGAGCATTTGCTTAGATGTACAAGACTATGCTGGAGCCCTTTAAATATTGACCTACTTATATTGAAGCATAGTTTGAAGACTGTAAAGTCAGTCAGTTCTGAAACTAACTTGAACTAACATATAGTACTTCGTACCTGCAACAGGCAAGAGTGCACAGGTCAGGTGACAAGCTGCAAATGTAAGGTGTGGTAGCTGTCACCTTTCTGTGCACGTCTTTACTGATACACTCACAGGCACAATTCTTTTGTTCCTGGTTTTGTTATCTCCTGGCATTGCTTTTCGTCTGGTATTACATGGTGCTAGATTAACTACATAGATATTAATGCATCCAGTGAAATAGTTAATTCCTACTGAATTATTCTCCAAATAATTGTTCATCTTCATTGAATTGCAATTCCAAAAGTTTCCAAAAACACTGGTCCACCATTTTTTTTCACCTCTGCTTACACAGGTTGGCCTTGGAGAAACGTTATTAGAAGCTGAAAATATTGAAGACCAAGAATCCCCGGTGAATTGTTTTAGAAAATTGTTTGGTAAGAAAACACTAATACTCTTGTCTCTTTGTACAAGTTTATAGAATGGCAGTGAGATAAATTTGGAG